TTGTAGAAGCGGCCTACTCTACATTCAGCCACGCCATAGCCCTCAGCGCTACGAACGACTGGCAGCCAATTGCAGGCTCTGAATAACCAGCCCGGCAAGAAGCTCAATTCTTTCATAACATAACAAGGCGGGGTTGCACGCGAGCCGAGTTATGTAGGTGCACAAGAGTACTTCGTGCCACAACCATCTCTCTTTTATAGGTTCTACAGACCGATGCCTGCTGCTTCATTGGGGAGAAAAGAATCAGAGATATGCCTATAATTAGAAGGAAGAACCGCCATAAAAAGATTCCTCGTGTATCATCTATAGCAGAATTATGAATGGGAGCAAGCAATCCGAACCGTATTGAAGAGGTTCCTGAGACACAGCATGAAAGAGTAAGAATATTAAGAAGCAAGGTCCAAGAATAAAGAAGGGGTAAAATTACTAAATGAATACGAACTTTGGCTGATACCCGAGGCATAAAAGAAGCATTTTCTATGGGATCCCGAAACCACCAGGCACTCCGACCTAATTCATGATGAGCCCACCAACTTCCTGGCAAGATGCCTACAGTTAAAAACCACCGACATGTCAAGATCCAAACTCTAATTGGTTCCTGGTCCTGGTCAGAGACCACTGTGTTCACGCCGACGGTCCAATAAAGAGGCGAAGTAGTGGTATCTTTCTTTCCATTACGAATGACACGCGTTGCCTGCTCCCTCCACTTGTCCATTAGCATTCTTGTCCAGAGCGAAGAGAAGGCTAAAAAGCGCCACCGAAGCAGCATGACCAGGCTTCTATTGCTACGCAACAATAGAGCTGGATAGCATTTTTCACCCACCACATCTTTGAATTCGAGGGTAAAGATCTCGCTTGTTATACAGGATCCGACGCATTCAGCAGAGCGAAGCAGCGTTTCATTCTTTTCGGTGCCCATCCTTCTGCATAAGCAGCGAGTGGAGTGCCACAATCCCGTTCATAATTTTTTATCTACATAAGCTAAAGCCCATAACACAGGCGACATCTCCGGCATAAATGCAAGGAGGATGTATAGCTGATATAGGATCTTGTGGAATAGGATTTGATTTTGCAAGCGGTTCAGTACGAACGAAGAAATTTCAAACAAAAGGATCGGAGCTCGATGATAGGAAAGGAGAGAAAAACAAAGCAATGCCAACAGCGGAGCCAATCCGTTGTTCATCGATAGACGAAGCTCTCTCTTTTGCATCTCAAGCCAGATGCAACAAAAGAGCCCTTTTTCCTTCTCACGAACCACGGGTGTGCCTAGCGCCCAGAGGAGAAAAGCTCATTTTCGGGTAAAGCTCTTTTTCCTTCGCGAACAAAGTTCAGAATCAACAATCGTAGAACGAAGGGAGTGTACAACTGAGGCGCAACCCCATTTTTGTTGTTCGTAATGAGGGAGAGATAGAATGGAGTTCTTCGCGAAGTTCGAGACAAAGGACAAAAAAAGAGTTTCCCTACGGCCTTCTCATTTTGATACATTATGGCTTTGGGGTCGACCTCGGTAACAAAGAAGGAATCCATCAAAACTTGGGATCCAACACCATGATAAGAGACTACCCTCATGATTAGACCATGTTCCTGAGATTTGATAAAAGAAAGGTGCATTAGCGGTTAATACATTGTAATTGGATAAGTTTTTGGAATATGACGTAATGAAAGACCAAGGAAAGGAAGAAGAATGCACCAAAATGCAGGTGTTGCACCAAAATCAGGTGCTTGTTTCTTGTTGTAAGTGAATGCAACGAAAAGACCCGAAAATAACAAAGAATAAGACAATTCATTTATTGACATTTCGTGCTCATATTTTAGTATTAACTGACTTAACATCATCTGGTAACCACAGGATGATCCACAATAAAGGTGGTAGGATTTGAACCTATGGCCGGCCCACCCCTGCCCTGCTAGGTTGGGTGCCTGGCACTCATCGCCTCTGTACCCGAGCGCTGCGCTACCCAGCGCATAACCTTGTCTCCCCCATCCCTCTTCTGGTTGTGCCATTGCCAATCGCAACCCAGCCACCCCTGACCTAAGAAGAACGATTATCCAGATGGCCAAGGCGGACCACGATCCCACTAGAAGGATTGCTCCGGGCAGGATAATAAAAATACAATCTAGAAGGTCGAATCGTAGAAGAATAAATGGATTTGTTAGGAATCGATAGTCGCTGTCTGGACATACGAGTAAGAGCTGGCCGGGAAGAGGAGAGATCAACGACGGAGCTATTAGCTACTGGTTGGAAAGGAAAGAAAGAATATAGAGAGAATTCCTTGTCTAGACCAACCAGTTCTTCCTGCTGGTCAATCATCATCAGGCTGGACATGTAGACCCGATGACCAACAAGACCTACTATGGCTATGGTATGGTAGTAGGGGGGCTAAGTCACTTGGTTGGCCCC